AATAATTATACATGAACGAATTAGATGATTTATGAGAAATGTCATTCCTAGAAACATATAACTTACCAAGACTGAATTATGAAGTAAGAGAAAATCTGAACAGACAAATAATGACCAGAGGGATTGAATCAGTAATCAAAAATCTCTCAAAAAATAAAATCCCAGGACCAGATGGCTTCACTGGAAGACGTAAAATTATCTGTTTGCAGATGACATGATCTTATATTAAAAAAACACTCTAAAGATTCCACCAAAACACTTCAGAACTAATGAAAGAATTCATAAAAGTTGTGGGATATAAAATCAACATAGAAAAATCAGATATGTTTCTACACTCTAACAAACTATCTGAAAGAGAAATTAAGAAAGCAATTCCACTTACAATAGCATCAAAAACAACAAAATATATAGGAATACGTTTAACCAAGGAGGTGAAAGACCTGTATACTGAAAACTATAAGACATTAATGAAAGAAATTGAAAAAGACACAAATAGATGGAAAGATATTCCACGTTCATGGATTGGAAGAATCAATATTATGCTAAAATATCCATACTACCCAAAATGATCTACAAATTCAATGCAATCCTTATCAAAATTCCAATGGCATTTTTCATAGAAATAGAAAAAACTATCCTAAAATTTGTTTAGAACCAAAAAGACCCCGAATAGCTAAACCAAACTTGAGAAAGAAGGATAAAGGTGGAGGCATCACACTTCCTGATTTCAAACTATATTACAAAGCTATAGTGATCATACAGTATGGTACTGGCATGAAAACAGTCACATAGAAGTGTGGAACAGAATTGAGAGCCCAGAAATAAACTCATGCTTATGGTCAACTAATCTTTGACGAGGGCACTATGAACAAACAGTGGAGAAATGATAGTCTCTTCAATAAATTGTATTGGGATAACTGGACAGCCACATGCAAAAGAAAGAAACTGGACCCCTATGTTACACCACTCACAAAAATTAACTTGAAATGGATTAAAGACTTGAATGTTAAGACTTGAAACCATAAAACTCCTGGAAGAAAACACATGGGAAAAGCTCCTAGACATTGGTTTTGCCAATGATTTTTTGTATAAGACACCAAAAGCAGAGGCAGTAAAACCAAAAATAAACAAGTGGACTAACTAAAAAGCTTCTGCACAGCAAAGGAAACAATAAATATATTGAAAAGGCAACCTATCGAACGGGAGAAAATATATACAAATCATGTATCTGATAAGAGGTTAATATCAAAAATATGTAAAGAACTCTTACAACTCAGTAGCAAAAAAGCAAGTGATCCGATTAAAAAAATGGGCAGGGGCCGGCCCGGTGGCGCAAGCGGTTAGGTGCGCGCTCTCCGCTGCCGACGGCCCGGGTTCGGATCCCGGGCGCGCACCGACGCACTGCTTGGCAAGCCATGCTGTGGCGGCGTCCCATATAAAGTGGAGGAAGATGGGCACAGATGTTAGCCCAGGGCCATCTTCCTCAGCAAAAAAAGAGGAGGATTGGCGGATGTTAGCACAGGGCTGATCTCCTCACAAAAAAAAAAAAAAAAAAATGGGCAAAGGACCAGAATACACATTTTTCCAAAGAATACAGATAGATGGCCAACAGGTACATAAAACGGTGCTTAACATCACTAACCATCAGGGAAACACAAATCAAAACCACAATAATATATCACCTCACACCTATTAGAATGGCTATTATCAAAAAGAAAAGAAAGAACAAATGTTGGCAAGGGCATGGAGAAAGGAAACCATTATACACTTTCAGTGGAAATGTAAATTCGTACAGCCCTTATGGAGAACAGTAGAGAGGTTCCTCAACAAATTAAAACGGAAAAATTAAAAAGAACATAAAAAAGCCAAAAGAAAAGAAGGAAATACTGCCACTTGTGACAACATGGGTGAACCTGGAGGACATAATGCTAAATGAAATAAGCCAGGCAGAGAAAGATAGATAACGTACCGAATCACCTATATGTGGAATCTAATTTTTTAAAGCCAATTTCATAGAAACAGAGAATAGAATGGTGGTTGCCAGGGGCTGAAGGAGGGGGAAATAAGGATTTCCCTATTTCCTTCCTAATGTAGGTCAAAGGGTACAAACTTTCATTTATAAGACATTTAATGTCTTGTGGTGTCAATTATTCCTCAATAAAGTTGTAAATAAATAAACAAACAACCCAGGTAGAATTTGTCAAGTTCTTTGAGAGATTCACCGAGATAATATATGTTTAAGCATTGTACCTGGCTTATAGAAGGTGCTCAATAAATATTATCTAGTATTATTAATTGAGTTTATTTTAGATTCAAAGGCTCAGCACATGGTGTTTCAGATCTCCTGTTTATTTATCCTTTCTTCCCCTCCCATCCCTTGTTCTACCCCTGAGCATTTATGCCTTGGTGTTCTTTCTCTGTTTTTTCTGACCTATAGCTTGCCTTGACCCTTTGCGTTTTTTATGCTATATACAATAATAAGGATTGTTGGTATTGCCTCCAATTCTTAAAAGAAGAACCTGAGGCTTAGAGATGCTAAGCAGCCTGTTCCAAATCACCCAGCTAATGGGTGGCAGAGTCTCAACAGGCCATCCATGGTCAGTGCTCTTTCTTGTATGTTGCCATTTCCTCAACTTTTCAATGTCAAGCTAAAGAAGTTAGTCCTGGATCTTTATGCAGCCGTGCACAAGGGTGCCCAGCACAGCAAACTGTTGAGGGCTGAATCCAGCAAGCCATGGGCCCTGGCACGGGGCCATGTGCCCAGAAGAAGGGGTACCATTTCTAATTCTAACAAAGGTACCAAAAGAGCTAACAGAAAAAACCTATCTCCATGCTGTTATGTGACAAACATGCGGCCTCCAGAACCAACTTGGAATTACATCTACAAGTCAACATGTTTGCCACTCTGCAAGTGGGTGTTATATGGCTGGCTGGCCTGTATTACTGTCCTCTCTTCTAAGTTAGGGTAAAGAAGCAATTATTCATCCTTGGGTAAATGTATGGTAGTTTTGCTGAGTCACTCATGTATGGATATAGAGGTGAAGTGAAATCAGAGACTGTCATGCTAGTTCACCCTGTATTTGGGAAAGCCAACTATCAGAACAAAGAACAATGTAGGTGTAAACTCTTGTGGTAGATGTAAACTATTTTTCACATCATATTGTCACGGTTGATTACTTCTATGAACTTTCTTTCACATGGATTTTCTGCCAAGTGTGGATGACGAAGATATTGATAAATGAAAACTAAAAATATTCATTGATTAAAATCAGATCTTACCTTCTACTTTAATTACTTATTCATGTGGTGATCTATTTAGGTCATCACACCCGAGAACACAGAATAGATGTCAACATTCTTTTAAAAGACAAGTTCATTCTGTGTCTCCTGCTGCTACTATTAAATTATCACACAGAAAGTTACACAAGAAGAGTTACAATTTGATAGGTGGATTAATTAAATTATCTGATATATTGTCCAAGGGTCTTAGTGATTGTGACAAAATGAATGAGTGGCCAGAAGGAATTAGATAATGTTTGCAATGGTTAATTATTGCTTTGCAGGCCTAAAGAAGTATGATTTGAACTAGTTTAACATATTGTAGCTTCTCTCTCCCTCCTTCCTTCCATCCATTCCTCCCTCCCACTCTCTGGCATGAAGGGGTATATGAAGTCATAGTATATCTTATATTCCATAAATATTCCATGGCATATCAAATATTTCATGGAATATCAAATATTCCATTAAATGCAGTTAATATTTGCCCATATGAGATAACCATTTTTCAAACTCAGAATTCAACAAATTATACCTAGTAGGAATTTACTGAATCTAGTTTACCAAAGATAGTATAAAATCTTGTGGTACATTAGTACAATAAAAATAAACGCTACTTATTGTCCTTTAGTTGTAATTGCCAGTTAATAAAGGATTCCAGGGAAAAGATATGCCAGTTTTTTACCATAAATGGGTGTTTCCAAAAGTTTTAAGAAGTAAAACAAAAATATTTTCACCTTTATATCTAGTTTATTATCCTAAGATTATAAAACTAGTTATTGTGAAACAAAGGCAAGAATGGACTTATACGCACAGGGATTACATATGAATTTATGTTATAATTTGAAGGATTCCTAAAATTCAAAAGATAAGTCCCACTCACTAGCCACATTGCCTGAAATTTCACTAGTAGAGATTTATTTCTTTGAGTTAGTCTTTTGCCTCTAGAACGAGTTCATTAAAAGATTCTGGAACAAATGTCTCATTAAGTCTGTATCAGTCACTAATTATAATAATAGTTATTGGTTTGGGAAATGTTTACTAGGTTCCAGAAACTATACTAGGTGCCTTTTATTTTATTTATTTTTTTTGGTGAGGACAATTGGCCCTGAGTTAATACGTGTGCCAATCGTCCTCTATTTTGTATGTGGTTCAACACCACAGCATGGCTTAATGAGCGTTGTGTAGGTCTACACCCAGGATCCAGGCCCTCAAACCCTGGACCGCCGAAGCAGAGAATGTGAACTTAACCATTACACCGCCAGACCAGCCCCTGCTGGGTGCTTTTTAAACATGACCTGCTGTCTTCACAACAGTCCTAATTAGTAGATATTAATTTTCCATTTTGTAGTTGAGAAAATTCAGGGTAATAGAAATTAAATACATTCCTACGGTACATGAGACACAGTCCAGAAGCAAACCAAAGTATGCCTGACTCCAAAGCCTTACTAATTTCCTATGGGGACTGGTTTCTCAGGGGGCATTCCAAAAAATACCCCAAGTAAAGGGTCTTGGGAAAAGACGTCAAAGGGCGGCTTGGGAGGAACACAAAGTTGGGTTGGGAGAACTACAAAGACAAAATTTAACATGCATCTTGGTTTCCCTGAGGACTAGTACTCATCAGATGTTGCCTTCCATCCAGTCCTTGTCTGAATTGCCATTCATTCTCCACTCTTGACATCCGCATCCATGAAATTTGATGATGTCTTAAATCAATCTTGCAGGTGTTATTTGGTGAAAAGATGTTCTATCCTCATACATTTTTTGACCACTTCATTGCCACCAAGGTGTGCAACCGGAAGCTATTTCGTCATATTTGCAGCAAGTTCCTGTTTACTTTAAGTGGATTTGATCAAAAAAACTTAAACATGGTACGTGTAAGTAGACAGATCCAGGAAAGCAATTGTTTTGTTGCACAGAGGTGAGAAGAGTTCATTCTGAATTGTGTGGAAACCACATGTCAAGGCCTCCTTATTGTCTCCTGGAATGTAATTATATGTTCACGGCTTCCAACCAAGGCTGAGAATCTGCCTGCTTTAGTCAGAGGACTTGAGAAGAAGGTTTTGCCACTGAAAATTCTCACCAACACTTGCTGTTGGCCGAAGTGCCACCATTGAAATGTCCTTCACTTAGATTAAGGCTATGGTTTTGAAATTTATCTTGCAGTGCCTGAGCCCTATCTCAGACTTACTGAAGTAGAATTTCAGGGAGAGAGCCCAGGCATTTGTATTTTTTTAAACCAGTTTTCCACTTTCATAAGTGATTTGGCAAAAGTCATTTTGTGAACCACCTACTTTTTTAATCCAAAGGGATAAAGGGGTGGCTCTTCAATGATAGCCACATATTCACTGTTCAAGGGATGTGTTGAGCTTCTTGTTGAGTCCCTTCCAACTTAACTGAGATCCTTTCCTTTCTTAGTTACAATTAGCTGACTGGAAAAGTGGGATGGGGAAAGAGAGGAAGCTACTGTTTACTCCTCAGCTACAGAGGAGATATGTTTGAAACCAGAGGTGGGACAAAGCCGAAGATGATCTTTGTTTATCTCCCAGAGCCTCATCTCCCTCTGTCAGTGGAAAGCATTGATTAACACTTTCTTTGCTTTCAAGCAAGATTTGTAAAATGCTGTTTATACAAAGCATGCCTTAGCCACTGCCTTTTCACATTCCTTTCTCACTTTCTCAATTTACTAGGGAAACTATGCTTGCCTATCACTTAGATGGAAACATATCATGTAGGCAGAGGTAAGTAAAAACACATTTAAGTGAACTCAAGAATTTCAAAAGCACCCTCTTGACATGACCTAACAGTTTGCTAGAGACAGACTTCACAAAATGACACTCTTGAACATTCATTGGGGGCCCTCACTGTACATTTATATAGTCAGATTGCCTTTTTTCTCACTGTTGGAGACTGGACTGTGGAATATTACAGTGCCTGCAAGGATGTTTATTTTAGTGGAGCATAACGAGGGATGCATAGTAGTGTTGGTGGAACTTTGAAAAAATATGCATGTCTAGAACTCAACCCTAGAGATTTTGATATTAATTCATAGATTTGCGTAGATCATAAGTAGTTCTATTTTTTTTAAAGCTCCAAGATATTTCTGATGCCCACTATGGTAGAAAAATAACTCTTTTGTATGTTAAAAAAAATGCAATTGAAAATATGACAAAGTTAAGGTTTTATTGATCCAGAAGAAATCTAAGTGTTAATGGAGGTTAACACTTAATGGAGTACATCCCACAAATTTTCAAAGAGCCCTGTAGAATATTTACCACATTTTGAAAATCACAAAGCAAAAGGAAACATTCAGATCTGTTCCTAATGTCTTATGATGAACAACTTTCTTGGAATGTCCTTTGAGACTTAACACAGGGTGAAGGAGAAGGTCACTGGGGCTTTTAGCCCTTGACCTCCTATACTCTTGGACCTGTCTGAGGTGAGACTGGAAAGAAAAGGTGCGTTACCTCTGTCTTTGACCAGTGGGATGCCCTTTGTGGGCTTTATAAAGACACTGCCCAGGACATTAAGAATAGAGCTAAGAGAAGAGAATTTCTTAAAGATGGGCTTCTTTGGTTAATACGTCTTCATAGTAAGGTATGTTGTTTATTGCAAAAAAAAAAAAAAAAGAGAGAGAGACAGAGAGAGAAAAAATATTCAGATTTACTTGTGGTGTGATTATATGATTAGCCTCCAGATGAGAAATAATCTCTTTACTTTGCAGAGTCGCTTGGATGTTTATTTGGCACAGAGCCCCGCGGGAACATCTGTTCAGAATATGTTGCACTGGGTCCAGGTATGTGCTCCCTATTCCTGATATGACGCACACATGTCTCTGCAGGATCCCCAAGGAGTTCTCCCAGAGGGCTCACTGCAGGGTTTTGCGGGCACTTGCCCTGTCAGGTTGATGTTTCTGTAATGAGCATCAACTCATGTTGAGTTACTTTACTTTCTTTTGTTTTCCGTGTACTCAGTGTCTGATATTTGGGTCTGGCTCGAGATATTCTGACTAAATTCTGATCCTTAAATTACCCAAAACTGCCTTTTCTAGAGAAAGCTCATATTTCCTATTTTGGGAAATCATCAGCTTTAATAGAGCTTTATATAACAGGGTACAGGTTATTCCAGATCTGCTCATCCTTCAATTGTCATATGGGCCATTTCAGAATGTGAAAGTAACACTTTATTCAGAGCAAATTAAATGTTAGGGAGGGATTAAAACAGATTAGTGGTGTCTGATTTTGCCCTTAGTTTAAGTTTGGGTTTTTTTTTTTTTGTTACTATTTTACTCAATGTTTGGCAAACTCAGAGACAAGTCAAATTCAATTGGTATAAATTTCTGAGCAAAGGATGAGTGTGTGTGTGTGTGTGTGTGTGTGTGTAGACAGAGAGACACAGAAAGAGAGAGAAAAGATCTTCCCAAAGTTTTAATGTATCTGAGATCTCTAAGAATTTGCATTTTAACCTATACTCTAATAAATTTGTTCTGTGCTTTAAAGTTGAGACTCACTGCTATAGATAGCCTGAAACACTAGTTGAGGATTTCTGAAATTCTTTGAAGAGTTCCACCCCCAGGAGATAAGCTTTCAAGTTCCTATGGGAAGAAAGATATTCAGGACATAGGGCCTCCTACTGGTGAGGAGACAGATAGACTCTCTGATGGGCATGGCCTTCCAGGTAATACAACTTCAATTTCACATTTATTGAGCACTTACTATGTGTTCCTCCTGCTGTTCATATATATGATTTCATTGAGTCTCATTGAATTCTCATAACTATCTTTCAACGAAGGCATTGATATCCCCATTCTACAAAGGTCATAGCCAATTCCCTACACATCTCACAGCTGACTCCTCTTAAAGAGAACTCTTCTCCTTTGACAGAAAGTCCTCTTCAGGATAGAAATAAGTAAGCAGAAGAAGATAAAATATTTCATCATAAGTTATATAGACAGATAAGGCAAGGATGATGATGATGATTACGATGATGGTAGTAATATTAGTAAAAAGAGTGATTTGTTGAGCATTCTTAAGTGCTACGTGATTTTTACACATTACCCTATTTAATCTTCACAACCCTATGAGGAGAATGTTACTGTCATTCTCATTTCACAGGTGAGAAAACAGGTTTAGAGAAGATAAATATCTTGCCCTGGATGACTGATTCAGTAATCCATTAAGCCTGGATTCAAACCAGCTCTGTTTGATGCTAAAACTCAAGTTCCTAACTAATACACTCTATTGCTTCCCATTGCTGAAAACCTGCAGAAATTCAATAGCAGCAGACTACTGCCTCTGTAAATATAAACCATGATCAGAATAATTTTAAACTAAAAATCAGGATTAAATCAATGAGTGTGAAAAAATATCTGAAATTCAAGTGAAGAAAAAACCCTTGGAATAGTCTGAGAATAATTTAATAAAGTGCTCGAGGTAAGTGTGAAAATTATCTGCCTCTTCAAGCCAGCATGGGTGGCAAATAGGAAAAGGAACCCCAAGGTATTTGAATGTTTCTATTCTAATATCTGATGTCTAAAAATTAAAATGCAAAAATGAGCATATGTGGTATCTCAGCCTGTGGCCACATTACTGACAACATGGCAGGCTGCTTGGCCCTGCAGATGGGTGACAAACAGCAGCGCCACACTTCACACAGAAAGTTCTGAGGGTGTTCTGTGAGTGAGCATTCCTTTCAATAGTAACAAAAATGTTTCAGAATAGCGAATATATTCATAACATCCTAGACCATCTGACAAGAATAACAATGTATAAAGTTATTTAATAGTAATAGCTGTCATTTTTTAATGTAGGAGATGCATAGGTAGTGCCTTATTAAAAAAATTATAAAAATTCTGGAAACCAAGATATCCAAGAATAATCCAATTTAGGATCTTTTGAAAAATTTCTTTGTATAACATTGTAACATATAAAGGCATCATCGTCTGAGGATTATCACTGGAAAAGTATAAGGGGATGTAAAAGATTGTCAGTCAGTTCCACGGATTAGTATCAATTTTTATCATTTTTATTATTTGGCTTATTAATCTTTATTGAATTTTAGTTCATGTACCTAAAGAGTGGAGCATAGTGTCAATTCTTTTTGTATATTTCTTGTTTACTGTCTTTAAATGTACATTGTTTTCTTATATCATTTTAATGTTAGTGTTTATTATTTTTATTTTATTGTAGGCTGCTAATTCTGGTCTGTTCCAAGCTTTTGATTGGGGAAACCCTGATCAGAACATGATGCACTTCCACCAGGTACGACAATAACAATAATCATCAGTTGCATACTGCAAATGAACTAGTAAAAGTAGTATCCACTCCTTAAGCACCTAGGCCCCATTCACTATGAGAGATATTTTATATAGATTAGATGCTAGTTATTGGGTTCTTACCATGTGCCATATCATTATTTTTGATCCTCGCAGTGACTTTGAAAGCTAAATATTATTGTTTCCATTTTTCCAGGTGCGCAAAGAGGTTAGGTAAATTGTCAAAATTATTTAACTAGTGAAGAACCAGAATATGACCCAGGGGTTCTTGGATCTTAAGTCCATTCTTCTACTACACTTATTCCTTCTCAAAAAACAGAAACATTCATCATTTAAGACCGTATTTGAAAGAGAGAATTAAAGATACATAATCTTTGTTTCTAGAGCATATTCTCTGACTTCTTAGCCATAAAATGAACTAACAATGTCCTAATAGTCATTTGGGATGTCATTTTTTTAAAAAAAAATGATACATGGATCATTAAAGATATACGGACCGAAATATCACCTTTAGGAAAAAACAGTGCTATCTGCCAAAAAATTTTGTGTCAAGATAATTCCTGACATTATCTATGAAAACTTTGGAGCAAAAATTCTGTATAAAAGAAGAGTATGTATTGTTGTTGTTGTTATCGTTACTTTTTTCTAGTGTATAAGGAAATCCAATGATGATTTTGGCTTCTTGTTGATGGACTGAGCTCTAATTAAATGAGTAGTCATCCGAGACTCATGGATTGTATCAGAGATACAAGGATGTGCAAATTTGGAAATTTTTTAAAAAGCAAATTTTCTGTGCCATCCTAATAACTACAATAGTGAACATGCATAACTTCAACTGGTGTGAAAAATCTGATTTTTCTCCTAAATTGCTATAATTATAGGTGTGTGTGGGTGTGTGTGTCCACATACACAGACTCCACACTATGTCAAAGTACTAATTACTCTCATAATTAACCGACTCTGTATCCCAGCAATGGCATACAGTTGCTTTAGCAAAAGGTTTTTAGATGATGACCTTACCCTGTAAGACTCGGATACCCACTTGCAGGAGAATTGAGGCACAGGTATTAGCTTTATCACTGTGCTTGCAGAGTCTATCAAAATACGTGGTGATTCAGGTTCAATTATGAATTTTTTGCTTGAGACTTTGGGGGAAAAAAGGAAAACCCAAAACAAACTGAGAGTGAACTATACACATGTTTAAAAAGCAATAACCTTAGTCACAGCTATATGTCATAACCCCATAAATTAGATAGATGTAATTACCAGTGTACTCACCAATCCTTTGTTACTAAGAAAGTAAAAAACATTTCTTGGCCAAAAGCCACCATACATCATTTGGATCCTGATCTTGATTTTCACTTTTTTTTGTGTGTGTGTGTCAAGGAGATCAGCCCTGAGCTAGCATCCGATGCCAATCTTCCCCTTTTTGCTGAGGAAGATTGCGCATTGGCCCCGGGCTAACATCCGTGCCCATCTTCCTCTATTTTATATGGGCCACCACCACAGCATGGCTTGACAAGCGATGCACTGGTGCACACCAGTGCAGGATCCAGGCCTGCGAACTCCAGGCCGCTGAAACAGAGCACTAACACTTAACCGCTACCCACCAGTCCGGTCCCTTGATTTTCACTTTTGCTTTGCCGTCTTCTAGGCTCCCCCTTTCATGCTTAGCAGGGTATTAAATCATTGCAGTAAAGGTATTCTGATTTCAGGGACTCCTCAGAACCATTTTGTGCATTAAAGAGCTTGCTGCCTGTATATTGTGTTGTTTTTCTATTCTTTATCTCTCTCTGTCTTTGCATTTAAATATTTACACTTTGTATTATTCTACTGAGAAATCTATAGAGTCAGGAAAGCATGCCTCTTCCTTCATCAATTGCACTTTGCTTTTGGGGCCCTGCATCAAGCTTTCCTGAGCCCATCTTCCCCTGGCACACACTACTGGTCGTGCTAATCTGCCCTCATTTCCTTCTCTTCCTTTCGCGTTGCCTTCGCATAGCTACACGTTCTCATTTACCACTTGCTCCTAAGCCCAGGTCCAAGGCTTCTCAATATTATAGGGGAGGGTGATATACATGAGATATTTAGTAATGCAAAGACCCAGGCACCAACCCATCAACTGACAGTAACATCTGGAATGACTATACCAATGTGCTCTGCCCCAATGTCACCCTGCTAAGAGAATGTAAGGTGCAGTCACCAAGTCAGGGGTCTCCCCCAGGCACATTTCTAGTCCTCTGAGAAACCTCTCCCTGGCCAGGGTTACTGTTTCCTAAGGATCTACACCTTTGTCCATGGTACCTTTCCTTCCTAATCTTGCTGCTAAAATTAACTACTGTATATTAATCTGCTTGGGCTGCCATAAAAAATTACCATAGACTGAGTGGCTTCAAGAACAAAAATTTCTCACAGTTCTGGAAGCTGGAAGTCCAAGATCAGCATTCTAGCATGGTTGGGTTCTAGTGAGGGCTCTCTTCCTCGCTTGTAGACAACCACCTCTTCAGTGTGTGCTTACATAGTCTTTACTCTATGTGTGAGAGCTTGGAGAGAGAGATCTCTCTCTCCTTCTTATAAGGCCACCAATCCTATTGGATTAAAACTCAACCTTTATGACTTGTTTACCCTTAAATTGCCTCCTAAAAGCCTCATCTCCAAATGTAATCATATTAAGAGATAGGGTTTCAACACACAAATTTGGGGGGAACAGAATTCAGTCCATAGACTATGATAACAGTCAAGACTCTTTTCTTTGCAAGTAGCAGAAACTAAATTCTATTTTAGGTTAGAAAATATATACACTGTTTTACTGAACAAAAAAGGGTAATGGTGGGGCCGGCCCCGTGGTTAAGTTTGGCACACTCCACTTCAGCGGTGCAGGTTTGGTTCCCAGGCATGGACCTACACCACTCATTGGTGGCCATGCTGTGTCAGTGACCCACATATAAAATAGAGGATGATTCACACAAATGTCAGCTCAGGGTGAATCTTCCTCAAGCAAAAAGAGGAAGATTGGCAACAGATGTTAGCTCAGGGTGAAACTTCCTTAGCAAAAAAAAAAAAAGTGTAGCAGTAAACTCACAAGAGCCTGGAACTTGTCATCCTGGCTCTCTTTACTTCCCTCTCACTCTTTCTTAATTGAGCTTGCATATGCTGTTTCCATTCTTAGACAATTTCCAAGGTAGTAGTAAGATGGTGACTGGATGTATATACTTAGCTCATACAGTGTTTTTAACTGCAAATCCAAAGAAAAAAACAATAGCTCTGGCAAAAGGTTCCAGAGAGAACTCTGGCCCAGTTTTAGTCAAATGCCCATCTCACACAATCACTGTGGCCAGAAGAGTGAAGGACTAATTGGCCAGGCCTGGTCACCCTGGACCACTGGGATTGGGATTTGTTGAATCAACATAAGAAAGATTGTGCTACCAGAAAGAAGAAGGAAGGGAAAATTTGCCGGGAGATTAGCATCATAGCCACTCTATTTCTCTATAACAGTCTGGCTCCTTTTAAACATCATTTTTCAAATGCCTTTTTTTGTGCATTGGTGTCAATGCTCCCTGAAGAGTCTGTTCAAGTGTCAGTAATTCCCCTGAACCCATATTTATGCATATGAGAAGGGGTATTTATATTTATCCTGTTCAATTCTTCCAATCCAAGTACTACTAGAAAGATGGTCCCCCATAGAAATAAGAGCCCTCTTCCTCTAGGATCCTTTCCCCTACTTTCCCAAAAGTGCAAATTAAAACTATAATGGTTGTCTTTTTTATTCATAATTCATATTATTGCACAAAAGTACTTTTAAGTATTTCTAACATTTTAATGTTTATATGTCATTAAATTGCACATTTTTAGCGTTTGAAGAAACTTCTTAGCAACTGAGTGTTAATGTTACTTGTATAATGTGATTTTCTGTGGAAACTCTGTTTTCTCTCTCCATCTCTAATTATATTTAGCTTACACCTCCCTTGTACAACGTTACTAAGATGGAAGTTCCAACAGCAGTGTGGAGTGGTGGACAGGACCTTGTGTCTGATCCCAAGGACGTTGAGAATTTACTCCCTAAAATTACCAAGCTTATTTATTACAAGTTGATTCCGCACTACAACCATGTGGATTTTTACCTTGGACAGGACGCACCCCAGGAAATTTACCAAGACCTAATTAGATTGATGGAGGAATGTTTGCAAAATTAAATATACTTTCCTTTCTCTAAGCAAGTAGGTTTTCATAATGTGGTGCACAGGCCCTAAGGTGACCCCTCCAAATATTTTCACCTCTTCGTGTCCATGCATTTGTGTAATCCTCTCCCCTTGAGAGTTGAAGGGACCTGAGACTTGCTTCTAGCCAACAGAATTGACAAAGGTGATGGGATGGCACATCTTTGGTTGATTATGTTTATGGCAAAGGTGATGGGATGTCACTTCCTGATGACATTCTATTATATAAGAATCCATCTTAGCAGACTGGAGCAGGAGATTCTCCTTGTTGGCTTGATGAAGTAACCAGATATGTTGAGGAAGCCCACCCGAGAAGGAACCGTGTGTGGCTTTTAGGTTCTGCAGGTGGCTTCCAGCCGTTAACCTGCAAAAAACCAGGACTCTCGGTCATATAGCTACAAGGAAATGAATTCTGCCTAAAACCTGAATGAGCTTGGAAGTCCATTCTTCCCTAGTACAGCCTCCACTTGAGAAAGCAGCCTGTGAACACCTGGATTGCAGCCTGGTGAGACCCTGAGCAGAGACCCAGCTTCGCCATGCCCGATCTACTAACTCACAGAAACAATGAGATAATAAATATATATTGTTTTAAACTGCTAAGTTTGTGGTAATTTGTTATCAGCAATAGTAAACTACTAATACTATTAATAGTAATAAACTATTATTATTATTTTGTCTCTTTGGTTAGAAGCTTGAGAGACCCTCTTCCTTATTTCCTCTTGTCTTATTTCCCTTGACCTGATGAACTTCCTTGAACATTTCTTGTTTTTCAGATCTGTTAGTGATTGATTCTCTCAGTCTTTGTCTGAAAAAGGCTTTATTTTACCTTCATTTCTGTTTTTTTTATTGTGGTAAGGACACAACATGAGATCTACCTTCTTAATAGAGTTTTAAGTGTATAGTACAGTATTGTTAAGTATAGGCACTATGTTGTACAGAAGATCTCTAGAACTTTTTCTTTTTGCATCACTGAAACTTGAGCAACTTCCCATTTCCTCCTCTCCCAGCCCCTGGCAACCACCATTCTATTCTCTCCTTCCATGAGTTTGACTACTTTAGATATCTCATATAAGCAGAGTTATGCAGTATTTGTTCTATGACTGGCTTATTTCACTTAGCATAATTTCCTTCAGGTTCATCTATGTTGTTGCATATGGCAGAATGTCTTTCTTTTTTAAGGCTGATTGTATTCCATTGTATGTATATACTGCATTTTCTTTATCCATTTGTCCATCAATGAACCTTTAGGTTGCTTCCACATTTTAGCTATTGTGAATAATGTTGGATGAACCTGGGAGTGCATATACCTTTTCAAGATCTTGATTTCAGTTCTTTTGGATATTGGTATTGCTGGATTATACGGTAGATGCAATTTTATTTTTATTTATTTATTTTTATTTTACTGAGGTTATAATGCTTTATAACATTGTGAAATTTCAGCTGTACACTATTATTTATCAGTTTCTGTATAGATTGCATCATGTTCAACACCAATAGTCTTATTTTTATCTGTCACCATATATATGTGCCCCTTTACCCCTTTTGCCCACCACCCAACCACCTTCCCCTCTGGGTACCACTAATCTATTCTCTTTGTCCGTGTGATTTTTTATCTTCCACATATGAGTGAAATCATGCAGTGTTTGTCTTTATCTCTCTGTCTTATTTCGCTTACCATGATACCCTCAAGGTCCATCCACATTGTTGCAAATGGGACGATTTTGTCTTTTTTATGGCTGAGTAGTATCCCATTGTATATATATACCACATCTCCTTTGTCCACTCATAAGTTGATGGGCACTTGTGTTGCTTTAATTTCTTGGCTATTGTGAATAGTGCTGCAATGAACATAGGGGTGCATAAGTCCCTTTGAATTGTTGATTTCGAGTTCTTTGGAAAAATACCCAGTAGTGGGATAGCTGGATCATAGGGTATTTCTATTTTTAATTTTATGAGAAATCTCTATACTGTTTTCCATAGCGGCTGCACCAATTTGCATTTCCACCAGCAGTGTATGAGGGTTCCCTTTTCTCCACAACCTCTCCAACACTTGTTATTTTTTGTCTTGGTAATTATAGCCATTCTGACAGGTGTAAGGTGATATCTCATTGTAGTTTTGATTTGCATTTCCCTAATAAATAGTGATGTTGAACATCTTTTCATGTGCCTGTTGGCCATTTGTATATCTTCCTTGGAAAAATGTCTGTTCGTTTCCTCTGACCATTTTTTGATCAAGTTGTTTGTTTTTTTTGCTGTTGAGTTGCATGAGTTCTTTATACATTTTGGAGATTAACCCCTGTTGGATATATGATTTGCAAGTATTTTCTTCCAGTTAGTGGGTTGTCTTTTCATTTTGTTCACAGTTTCCTTTGCCTTGCAGAAGCTCTTTAGTCTAATGTAGTCCCATTTGTTTATGTTTTCTTTTGTTTCCCATGCCTGAATAGACATGGTATTTGAAAAGATGCTGCTAAGACCCATGCCAAAGAGTATACTGCCTATATTTTCTTCTAAGTTTTATGGTTTCATGTCTTACCTTCAAATATTTAATCCATTTTGAGTTAATTTTTGTGTATGATGTAAGATAGTGTTCTACTTTCATTCTTTTGCATGTGGCTGTCCAGTTTTCCCAACCCCGTTTATTGAAGAGAATTTCCTTTCTCCATTGTATGTTCTTGGCTCCTCTGTTGAAGATTAGCTGTCCATAGATGTGTGGGTTTATTTCTGGGCTCTCAATTCTGTTCCATTGATCTTTGTGCTAGTACCATGCTATTTTGATTACTATAGCTTTGTAGCATATGTTGAAGTCAGGGGTTATGATGCTGCCAGTTTTGTTCTTTTTTCTTGGGATTCCTTTGGCTATTTGAGGTCTTTTTGTTGTTCCATATAAATTTTAGGATTCTTTGTTCTATTTGCATGAGGAATGTCAATGGGATTCTAATTGGGATTGCATTGAATCTGTATATTGCTTTAGGTAATATGGACATTTTAACTGTGTTTATTCTTCCAATCCATGTGCATGGAATATCTTTCCATTTCTTTATGTCATCTGATTTCTTTCAATAATGTCTTAGAGTTTTCAGTGTATAGGTCTTTCAGTTCCTTGGTTAAATTTATTCCTAGATATTTTATTCTCTCTACTGCAATTGTAAATGGGATTATATTCTTGAGTTCTCTTTCTGCTAGTTCGTTATTAAAGTATAGAAATACAACTGATTTTTGTAAGTAGATTTTGTACCCTGCAACTTTGCTGTAGTTGTTGATTATTTCTAATAGTTTTCTGATGGATTCTTAGGGTTTTCTATATATAGAATCACTATATATAGTGAGAGTTTCACTTCTTACTTACCAAGTTGGATACATTTTATTTCTTTTTCTTACCTAGTTGCTCTGGCCAAAACCTTCAGTACCATGTTGAATAAGAGTGGCAATAGTGGACACTCTTGCTTGTTGCTATTCTCAGAGGGATGGCTTTCGGTTTTCCACCATTGAGTATGATGTTGGCTGTGGGTTTGTCATATTTGGCCTTTATTATGTGAGGTACTTTTCTTCTATACCCATTTTATTGAGAGTTTTTATCATAAATCCTTGTTGGATCATGTCAAATCCTTTCTTTGCATCTATTGAGATGATCATGTGATTTTTATTCCTCATTTTGTTAATGTGGTGTATCACATTGACTTATTTGCGGATGTTGAACCTTCCCTGCATCCCTGGTATAAATCCCACTTGATCATGGTGCATAGTCCTTTTAACGTACTGCTGTGTTCATTTTGCCAATATTTTGTTGAAGATTTTTGCACCTATGTTCATCAGCGATAATGGCCTGTAATTTTCCTTCTTTGTGTTGTCCTTGTCTGGCTTTGGGATCAGGATGATGTTGGCCTTATAGAATGAGTTAGGAAGTGTTCTGTCTTCTTCTCTTTTTTGGAATAGTTTGAGAAGGATAGGTATTAAATCTCTTCTGAATGTTTGGTAGAATTCTCCAGAGAAGCCATTTGTATCAGGTTGTATCAGTCTAAGAATTTATCCATTTCCTGTAAGTTGTCCAATTTGTTGGCATATAGTTTTTCACAGTATTCTCTTATAATCCTTTGTATTTCTGTGGTATTCATTGTAATTTCTCCTCTTTTAATACTAATTTTATTTACTTGAGCCTTCTCTCTTTTTTTCTGAGTGAGTCTGGCTAAGGGTTTGTCAAATTTTTTATCTTCTCAAAAACCCATCTCTTAGTTTCATTGATCCTTTCTACTGTTTTTTGGTTTCTATTTCATTTATTTCTGCTCTAATTTTTATTATTTCCCTCCTTCTGCTGGCATTGGGCTTTGTTTGTTCTTCTTTTTCTAATTCTGTTAGGTGTAGTTTAAGATTACTTATTTGAGATTTTTCATGTTTGTTAAGGTGGGCGTGTATTGCTATGAATTTCCCTCTTAGGACCACTTTTGCTGCATCCCAAAAGAGTTGGTATGATGTGTTTTCATTTTCATTTGTCTCCAGATATTTTTTTATTTCTCCTTTGATTTCTTCATTGATCAATTGGTTGTTTAGTAGCATTTTGTTTTGTTCCATATATTTGTGACTTTCCCAGGTTTTTTCTTGTAGTTGATTTCTAGTTTCATAGCATTATGGTTGGAAAAATGCTTGATATGATTTCAATCTTCCTAAATTTATTGAAGCTTGCCTTGTTTCCCATCACATGGTCTATCTTTCAGAATGTTCTATGTGCACTTGAGAAAAATGTGTATTCTGCTATTTTTGTATGTAGTGTTCTATATATATCCATTAAGTCCATCTGGTCTAGTTTTTCATTTAATTCACTATTTCCTTGTTGAACTTCTGTCTGGATGATCTATCCATTGATGTTAGTGGGGTGTTAAGGTCCCCTACTATTATTGTGTTTCTGTTAATATCTCCTTTTAGGTTTGTTAATGGTTGCTTTATGTACTTTGGTGCTCCTATTTTGGTTGCATATATATTTA